TCAGGTATATCGAAACGTTGATTTAAAACTATAATATGGTCTCTCTTATGTCTTACAGCAATTGAGTTTTGGTAACCAATTGACAGTATGACTACCTTCTGCTCAAAAAGTACTCGGATTTTGTAAATAAAACACAAATTTCAATCGACTCAAAACGCTTACCACGAAGGGGCAATTTGAGTTTCGGGAATAGAAACTATTGAGTTTCGTAATAGAATTTGGTGTAAAGGCAAAAAAAAAAACAAAACTCTTCTGAGCATTTCTCAACATAGCCTCCTTTCAGCTCAACTCGATTGTATCAATGGGTAGAAGCTTCTCAACCTAATTGGATATGGGGGAGTCATTCGAAGAATGAAGCAATTACGTTATATTTAGCAAAACCAGCATAGCATGTTGCTTGATGAAACGCATGTTAGTGTCTACAGTGTCTGAGACCGCTTTGATGATCCACTGTCATAAGATGATCTATTGATTTCTGATAATAAGTTTTGCAGATGCTTTTATAGAAGTATAGAATAAAATTAATGTAAACCTTACAGCTGGAGAGTAGAAATTCGTATTTTTTATGATAAAAAAATATCACAACAGATAGATTATACAAATGTAAGGTGGTATAATCTAATGATGTAAACATCTGAGTATTGAGCTGTACTGCGAAAATTAAGAGGGAGACTTCCTGTCAAATGGATCTACTACGATAACCTAGAGGACAATGTTGATGTAAATGTAAAACCCTTTCATTCGAAACACTAGCAAGTCGTCTCAATCGTCACAAAGCTACAATAATCTCGTTGTTTGTTAGTATAAGAAGATCAGGATTTATACGCGAAGCCAGATTTTTCGGATAAAAAGCGGTACTTTAGAATCTATTGTAGTGCTACAATGATAGATGATTATATCATTAAACGGATGATGCTTGGGTAGTACAGTTAGTTTCTGCAACTTGATCGAGTCAGTTGTTTTGGTTTAATTTGTTCTTTTTTTTTTTAGAGTGACTTCACTCTAGAATGTTTGAAGTCTCAACATTTATTTAAATTCAGGATCATGTAAGTTGCGTACACCATAAAAAATAAGCTAACCTGAAACCGAATAAAGTCGATCCAAGTAAAGATCAGAAAATTATTTTCAAACTGCAAATAAAATATCGATAATTATAAAATGCCCGAAATGGAATAAGGCTGATCCAAATCAATAACGGAAAATTATTTTTTTTTAATGCAAATAAAAAAATTTTGTTTGGAATATATTTTTGTTAATTAATCAAGTTTCCTTTTGGGTTAAAAAAAAAAACTTTATTTATAAAATGAAAGTAAAAGCTATCTAAATCCTTCGTAGTTACTAAACTTGCATGAAAAAGCATATTTTAAAATCTCTAATTTTTTTTATAAAAATTAAAAATTTATTTTAAATTATTTTTTTTTTAATTAATAAATGATAGTAAAAATATTACAAAAAAAAAAACTTTGAATTTTTTTACTCTTAAGAAGTAATTAGAATTTGATTCAATAGCGATTCAAAAACTTTTTAATTGCATTTTTAACTTTCATGCATTTGTATGCTTAATATTCTTGCACTCGAGTGTGTGCGTGTTTTTATATATGAACGCGGTCTTTTATTTCGTAATGAGCGCGGAATGAGGTCCTTGGTCCTTATGAAATGTGTATGTGTATGTGTTAGTGTGCGTAAATTTGCAATATTACACAAAATTTCTGTTTACTTTGCCTTTAATTTTGTTTTTGTTGGTGCATGCACATCTCTCTCGGGTGGCAGTGGTAGTGCCTGGGCTGTTATAAATTTTGCGGTTTTTCAATTGTGCTTCCGAGTACAAAAGAAAGTTGAAGGATTCCGAAGTGAAAATGGTGGCAACTGGTAATAATATTTAATTTAATTTAAAAATGTACTTTTCGGTTTTTTTAATTCGTACAATAAAAAAAAGTCGTATTTAATTTAATAAAAATATTAAAATTTCCGTAAAAACGAAAAAGAAAGTAATATTTGATTGGGCTCAAGGATATTAATTTAAATAATTTTTGTTCTCAGATTTTAATTATGTGTTGATGTCTTTTAAATTATTGATTATTTTAATTTAAATGGTAATTTCATAGTTTTTCTAAATATATTTTAAGTACAAGTACACATACAATACAACAGAATTAAATAAATCAAGTTTAAAGGTTCACGAGTACTCATGCACTTTGGTTTAAGATTAACAATAAATTTTAAGCAAAAATATTTGTCTTGTACGCATAATGTTTTTAACACAAAATGATAAGATCAATCAAATATATTAAAATAATATTTAATAGTAAAATCAAAATAAGGCCTTTTCTTTTGTAAGCATATCACAAAAGAACAGCCACTGATTTTAAAAATAATATATAAAACAACAACACAGCTGGGTTATTTAGTTCAACCTTTTTGAAACCGCTTAACTAATAAGCAGCTCAAATCGCACGGTTGCCAGCAATCAATATTCATCTATTGTGAACGACTTTTGGAAGTACCTTCGAAATTTCCAGTTAACTGTCAACAAATGATTTCGTTTATTCTTCGTATTTCCTGTCGTCATTATTCGAAACAAATACGTCTGTTTATTATTAGACTGTTAAGAGTTATGAACATTCATATTATATTCACAATCATATAAAAAAAATTTTTTCTTGCCAATAATTGCAATTATTACTCATTTTCAATATTCATTATTATTTATTTTCGAAATTTTAACTTTAAATTTTATTACGTATTTTGCATATATGACCCTAACAAAATTTCCATTTTGTTCAGAGTTACCATCGAAAGTAGTGCTTATTTTATTTGTCTTTTGCGATATGCTTGCAAAAGAAAACGCCATTAATTCTTATAAATAATGATTATATTGTGCAGACAGTCATATGAAAAATAGTCACTTCAATTTTACGGTATTTATGGTTATGACTATGAAGACATCTTATGCAGACAGTCAAATCTCAATCATCAATTTAGTACAATTATTAACTACTCTTTTTATACAATGATTTTTAGCACTGTATTCAAGTAAAGGTAGTAAATGAAATTAAAGGTAGTAAATTAAAGTGGTTATCAAGTCCGAAATTAGTATGGTATGACGGTCGTTTGATTGTAATGATGAAGTGATTATTCAGTCCGAAATTGGTTTGTCGCTTGTTTCATAAAAATGGGAAATTAATAATCACTTTCCGTCCGAAATAACTCCTTTGATATAGCGTAGCTGTAAGATTGTGTTATTGTGATACCTTAAAGAACGGTATTCATTTATAGAAAGTATGTGGTTTTCTAGCAATATAAAGTGAGATGTTTTAAAAGTTTGTTGGATTCTAAGATACTTACAAATTGTAAGACATGATGTTCAATGTAAATTAATTGTAATAAAGCAATATTGTGGACTTGCGATAATCACTAACAACTGGTCACTGGATAAACTGGATGAGATCAAGGAGAGCTTGAATGATTTATTAATCTATCCAAAATGTTCTCAAACTCAGATATTTAAATTCTCACAGAGTTACTAAAAGGATTTGTCAGATTGCGGTAACATTTCAACAATTTGGGCCTCTCACACACCAGTATCTGTCGCTTTTCTGAAACTAATGTTGAAAAGCTTGAACATATTTTTGTTGATTGCGTAGAATTGAGCAACAGCAGACTTCTCCAACATGCTGTCCCCAATAATGTATGCTATCAACGGAAACCATTTATGAAGTTAATGTTCATTAAAAGCCTAAGTATGGGTTAAAATAATAATCGTTAGTACAATTAACGACTTGAGTTGCAGTGCCTAGTATTATTTTCTTTAAAAATATTATACATATGCCTCTTTCCAAAAGATATTATTGGTTAAAATATTATATCGCTTCTTCTTTGCATTTTGTATTTATAGTATGTTTTTTTAATGGTGGAACATACTACAAAATTGGATTTAATGTTAAAGTTTTTTGAATCTGTTAGCTGGTACTTTGACTTTTGTTTATTTAAATATGTAAAATGAACAAAGTTCAGCATTGACTGCA